CCACTATTTCTTTGCATTCTTAGGAAACTCCCAATATTAGTAACCCAGATTTCAAAATATTAGCAACCAAAACTTTTGAATTCTTGTTGGCCTTAATCGTTTCTACCACCATGGGCCACCATCAATCGTCGAAAATCATAATCTTTAGTATGAAGAAGCTTTTTTCAAATCTCCTCACTCGCTTTATCCTTTAGCCACTAACCCATTTCAATAACAAAACCAAACCAGAAAAGATCTTAACCGAGAGATCAACAAGCTTTTAAAATATCTTAACCTAGAGATCGACAAGGTTCTATTGTTGATTTGCCAATCACCGGTCTACCTTGTGCCTCTGCAATTTCCAGTCACCAATTGGCCAAGCTTACTTTTCTTTCTAAATGTTCTGCGAATTCCTAAAAAAAAAAAAAACCCCTAAAAGCTCTTTTGATCGAAAACCAAATATTACATAGCCCTTAAAACTTTTCATTGCATGCTTGCTTCTATAATTGTTGTATTTTCTCTATTATGAACTGCTTATATCTTGCTTGATTGCTTGGGTTATTATGATTGTATTTCTACCCTGTATGGTGATTTCTAATGCTTGAACTAGCTAATGGTTGGCTCGATTAGGTTTAATCTGTAGGGCTGATTATGTGTCTGCTGGGTATAGTTTTTCAGTGGTGGCAATGGTTACGGTAAAATGACTATAACAGTGATTTAAGGGGATTGGAATAGTAAGGATTCGGGTATTAGTGGGCTTTGTTTGGTTGTCGAAGGTGCTGTTAGTACTCGGTCTCTAGTGATTCAAGTGGTGATAGGATTAGACAATTTGGTGGTAATGAACTTTTTGGCTAGTTGGTTTGGCAATGGGATGGTGACCGTAGGGAATGGGTATGAAAACTTGGCACAAAGGATTTACTAGAGCTTGCTAGGAATTTGCTCGATTTTCTCTCTGTGTTTTCTTTGGTCTTGATTATAGGATATATATACTTGGTTGCTCTCTTCTTTATTTTGTCGATTGTCTCATTTATAGGAATCAATCTCATTTCAATTTGGACTAATTTTAATACTCACCGGATCTTTTGTGATTTTTCCTTACTTACAAAGATTGAGATCAAAGTATTTCCATAATTGATTCAACCATTAAACCACAAAATCGGATTTTTGATTCTCTAAATTAAGACCTTCAAATTTCCACATTTTTTTAATTTTGACATTTTTATTTTTCCTTTGACCAAAAATAAAATTAAGATTAAAATTAAATCAAAACCTAAAATAAAAAATTGTTATGGCCTTTTGATTATTGGGTTCAAAATTTTGCATTAAGACCCAATTGACAATTAAAATCCATTTAAATTCTTATAAATTTTTGGATAAAATAAAGTATTTACAATTTATATCAATTTTAAAAGATAAATTTCATTGTGTGTAGGTTTAATTCAATTTTATTTTGAATTTGTCTTGTAATGTTATAATTGTTAGTTAGTTTGTAATATTTGATTGATTATTCAATGATTTAATATTTGATTATAATTATAATTTACACTTATAATTTCATAAAAGAATAATTACAACGTAATTGCCACGTCAAGATTCTTTTTCATCATTAAATCAAAGGCTTCTCTCTTATAAAGCCAACATGGGAGTCTATATGGTTAATTTAACTCATGTATAACTCCTTTTAGGTTTACCACGTGGCACTTTCTCATTTTCCCTTTTCTTTTTCTTTTTTGCTTTTGATTTTTTTTTCAATTCTTTTATAATTTTATAGATTTTTTAATATTTAATAAATAGTTTTATAAGATTTAATTTTTTTTTAAGGTAGGTTCCCTTTATATCAAATTTTTTTTGCTTTTTAGATTTACTTTTTTAAAATACCTTTTTTAGATTTTAATTTTTTGTGTGAGAACCATTTAATACCAAAGGTATGCCTTTTGTTTTTACATTTTTTTTCTTTTTCTTTAATTATTTTCTTGTTTTATACATTTAATAAATATTTTTTAGATTTCAAATTCTTTTTTGTGTGACCCATTTTCTTTTTCTTTCCTTTTTTAGTTTAAAAACCCTTTTTTAGAAGGAGTGTTGTGTCTTTATTTTATTCTTTTTACTATTATTTTCAAATTTATATATTTAATAAAAATTTTAAAATTAAAAATTTTTTCTCTCCAACTTGATACGAAAGGTATATCATTTGTTAAGTTATTTTTTCTTTTTTCTTTTATCATTTTTTGTTTACTTTTTCTTTTTTTTCTTTTTAAATATTTATAAAATATTTATAATATTTTAACTTTTTTAATGTGGAATCCATTTGATATTATTATTAAAAAATTATTTTTTCATTTTTTAATTTGATAATTTGAAAGAGATATTAAGAAAAACTCATTATTATTAATATCGCGTGCCGACTTTCTTCTTTTTTTTGTTTTTTTGTTTTTTGCTTTTGTCTTTTAATTTTTTTCTTCTTTTAATTTTTTGTTTTTTAATTACATTATTTTATTAAAAAAAGCTAAAGGATACATGCAAGTTGCAATCTATTTGTTTTTTTTTCCTTTTTGATAATTTTTGTTTTTTAAATTTTTTAATAAGATAATTTTTAACAAAAAAATCAATAAATAAATTTTTTTAAAAAAATCAATGAAGGTTTGGATAATAAAATAACTTGTATATGTTGGGTTTTAGTTTGTCCGGATCCAATTGATGCGCCTTTTTATGTGCGATCGAATTGAGTTTATTTAAAAAAATCAAAATCGAATTGGAGGTATATTTATGGTGTTTCGTATAGTCTTGGATATATATATTATCTATTAATTTTTTACTTAATTTTATTTATATGTATGTATTACATTAATAAAGATATTTTTTAATTTTTAATTTAATAAAATATTATATTTATACGTAATTATGATGTAATCCATCTATTTATTCATTATATAAAATTGATTTATTTTGGCTCTTATTTAACCTTTATTGAAAGTCTGAATGTGTTACTTTTTTTTTTCCTTTTTTCCCTTTTTTTTTTTGCTTTTTAAAAACTTTTTTGTTTTTATTTCTTTTTAATCTATGTAATTTTTTAAAAAAAAACCTACATAGGCATGTACGTGACACCCTAATATATTGTTTTTCCTTTCATTTTTTTATATTTTAATTAAATAAACTTTTCAACTAAAGGAGTCGACGGATAAGAATGGTAAAACAATTCATTTTCGATGAGTCTCCACTCAATTAGGATATCCACATAGTACTTCAATGAGCTTTCTTTTTATTTTTTTTATTTTTTATTTTCATTTTTGTGTTTTTTTCTTTTTATTAAAGTAATTTTGTAAAAAAAAAAAAAAAACAATAGAGTTGCCGACATGGAATCCAATTTTTTCCAATTTCATATTTTTTTAATTATATAAATTTTGCAACAAAATGTGTCAATTGATAGAGATGCCAAAATAATTGGTAGTCGATAAATTTCGATCTATCTTAATCTGATAAAGGGACATTTTTTTTAAATTGGGATTAAGTTGAGACATGTTGAGTTTTTTAAAGAAAAACAAAAAGCGTATTTAGGGTATTTTGTCTTTACCCATTTCAAGAAATAAATAAAAGTATATATTTTATTATTTATTTAATTGTATACATATGTATGTGTTGTATTAATAAAGTTTTTTATTTTAATTTAAGAAATTAATATTTTAAACTCAATATGGGTATCAATGTGGCACGTTTTATACGGTTTTTTTCTTTTTTTCTCTTTTTTTGTTTTTTTTTCATTTTCTAATTTTCACTTTTTTTGATTTTTTTGTATTTATTCTTTTTATTGGATAAATTCTATGTAAAAGAAGTCCTATTAAGATATTCACATGTGATTCCCATTTATTTTTAATTTTTAATTTATTTTTAATTTTTTAATTAGATAAATTTTGTAAAAAAAATACGGTGAATAGAGATTGCAAAAAAAAAAAAAAATTTACCACGGGCATTTTTCTAGTAAGTATTATTTTTACATGAGTATTTCTCATATAATTTTATTACAATCTTATAAATCATAAAAAAATTATATAAGAATCTACAATTATAAATGTGAACATTACATAATATCTTAGTGAAATTTTACATAATTTTGAATTATAATTAATTGATTGATTGAAATACAATAATTACATATGATATGCTTTCAACTTTTATTACTTTGATATAAAAAAGTAGGATTAATTGTTTTACATTACATAATTAAAATGATAAACAAAATGACAAAGTAAAAATCATGGAAACACTCAAGAATAGATCTATTGATGAGTCGAGTTATTCACTAAAGATGTTTATGGGTCAAGTTGAATCGAATTGGGTACATTGACACTTTTGAAGCTTTGCTTATTAATTAGTCAAAATAATAACAATAAAATATTAATATTTTAAAATTAAAATTAAAATTAATTAATTAATTAATAATTCAAATTTGATCAATTAAACTTAAAAATTTTTGTCTATAAAGCTCGAAGGTATGGACAAATAATCGATTCTGTAGAAAGGTCAATTACTCATTAAGTACACAGATCTTGAATATAAATTTTTTTAAAATAAGGCTAACATTATGAATATTTTTTGAATTGTAATAAAATATATAATATAATACTTAAATTTTAAAAATTAACATAAAATCTTTAATATAATATTTAAACTATATATTTATTAATTAATATGATACTTAAAAAATTATTTATCAATAAAATATTATCATAAATTTAATGATTTAAAAATATATTATATTAATTAATAAATTTATAATTTAAATATTATATTAAATATTTTTAAAATTTATATATCACATTGCATACGTTATTATTAGATTCATTTATGCATAAACACCTTTAACTAGAACCAACGAGGTAAGAAATAAAAGTGAAGCTGCAACCGAAACGAATTCAGTTTAGAACCTCAAAAGCCAACTCAGCACTACTAGCCGGCCACATCAGCGATGTCTCTACCACAAATCAAAAATCGTTCAGACACATGAGCCACGTGTCCATCTTTGATCTCGAGATACAGGGCTGCATACTCGTCTCAAAGGTCAAACGAAAAACCCGCAGATATCTGGGTTCTGACATGGCAATCAGTTTGTGATCAATCTTCTCAGCAAACCACCTCATCTTTCGGTTTATTCACGATCCTCTCCACCGCCCGACTAAGACGGCTGACCGCAATAAATTTTATATCCACATCAACCCAGAGTATCACATTCTCGAAGCTCAAATTGCACCACGTGGCACCCGCCCAGACAAACTAGGACAAACGCGAATAAATAAACCGCTACCAACTGCAGATTTCTGAAACATTAACTTCCAGTAACCAACCAGGGCCTAGTGTTCTTCACTGTTCATCTTTTTTTCGTTCTTGTGTTTTGTTCACTCTATTTGCTTTTTCTTAATAAACCTTCATATCTATTTGCTTTCATTAATGGATTGTGTGTTCCTTGACATTGACTGATCCAAGCAATACTGATTCAGAGGCGGGAGTTTGGTGCTTTTCGTTGAACAGGTAAAGCTTAAGCTCAATTTTGATTCTTTTTCTATGCTTTTAACCATTCAAATGATTCAAATCAGCAGTTCTTTATACATAATTTTTATGGGTTTATGCTGATTTTAATGATGAAGACTTGTTTTTGCTGGGGTTGAGAATTACCGCCATGATTTTCCAGTTTACTAGTTTCAAGTTAGGAGAAGTATTTTGGTAAAGATAATAAAGGTCTGAGGGGGGGTAGTATGGAACCTCTATGCGATTTTTGTCGAGGGGTAAGGGCAGTAGTTTACTGTAAATCAGATTCAGCTCGGCTTTGCTTGAGCTGTGACGGATGTGTTCACTCTGCAAATTTGTTGTCACGTAGACATGCTCGTTCACTTTTGTGTGAGAAATGCAATTCTCAATCTGCAGTAGTTCGATGCTTAGATGAGAAATTATCTCTTTGTCAAGATTGTGATTGGAATGGCAATGGTTGCTCAAGTTTGGGACATAGGCGAGAGGCCCTGAATTGTTACACAGGTTGTCCTTCTTTGGCTGAGTTTAGAAGAATCTGGTCTTCTGTTCTTGATGCTTCTTCTCCCGGTTGTTTTGATGCCGCTTTGCTTGTTGGTGCTTTGCCTGCTAATGACGATTGTTTTGCTTCCTGTTTGAATCAAAGAGAACAAGGGGTCTCATTTGGATTGGCTGGTATCAAGTTAAATGAACTAGATTCTTGTCCTAAACCAAAGCAATGCATGGAGCCATCTTCTCTGATATCAACAAATGCAAATTACATGCCTTACTGTAGAGATCAAGAACCTATTTTCTCAGAGGAGTTGAATATACCAAAGGTAAATGCTTTTTGCTGCTGAATTTGTTTGAATTGGTGATGGAAACTGTTGAATTCAAGTAATAACTTCGTTCTTCTGATATAATGGATCTTTTTTATTTAGTCATGGTTGCAAGCTGCAGTTATTTGATAGCTGTGTGTGACATTTGAGCTGATTCCTCTGGAATGTTTGATTTTGGATCTGTTATATCTCAGACGCTACATGATTCATATTTTTGCCTCCTTTGTTGCAGGGTCATTCTGACCTCAAAGATTTCAAAGTGCCTGATGGTGATGATCTCTGCGAAGATCTCAACATAAATGATGTTCAACTAATCCTTGAAACTGCTGACAAGATATTTGGCTGTTCGCAAGGTCAAACAAGATACCAGTTTGAGGGTGTTGGGACAGACTGCATATTAATGGACAAAACCTTATCAGTAACAGAATCTGATGGTCCTATTGAGAACACATTAGAGGTTATATATTCTATTGCTTTCCTTCCCATTTTCTAATTTAATTTTTAGTATTGTGAATATTGCATTTACATCCGAGTTGTTGTTCATAAAAAGTTTATGAACTGATACTTAGAGCTGTAAATCCTACTTTTTAGTGCATCATTCACTGTGGTGTGAGAGGGGATAATAGACCAAAATCCATCTACTATAGTTAATATTTCTATCCAATAGTCTGTTTATGATATAAAGTACAGTCAAAATATTGTTGCTTTTATGCCCCCTCACCAAGATCTGGAGCATGAAGCCTTGTGCTTTGATAAAACACCAACAATCTGTGTCCTGAGTCACCTCCATTTGCAGCATTTGTTTGCAATAGCAAACTCATTTCAATGCTTTACTTTCAACTTTTATGATGTGCAAATCATACTTTTTAATACAATCTAAATCTTCTGTTCTACAAAATCTAACACTATCAGACATATGGTAAGGAAAGGGAATAAGCATTTAATATGTAACTTACAAAAGTCTGGAACATGATTAAGTTAATAACTGTTAGGATCAAGACTTTAACCTGTCAGGACTAATCATTGACTTTCATTAGAAGCAAGACCGGCATGATAGTTGATGTTATTTTGTTGATAAGACGTTTTACCATGTTTTGTGCTTATTGTGTATTCGGCATACTTCCTCTTGCTGATATTGTGAAGTAATAACAAACCTGCAACTACATACTTAATTCTGTTCTTGTTTTTATCCACCTTTCCTTATTGAAGTAGATAAGAGTTTTTTTGTCCAGTTCATGGTTGACAAGCCACTGTTGTGTATCTTCCTAGGCATCAGCAGCAGGACAAAAGGATTGCGTACCTTTTCCATCCTCTCAAGTTGGTGGTTCAGCTAGTGTGATAGCTGCCATGACTGGCACTTCCAATTTCATGCTTATAAATCCTGGTTGTAACAGAAACATCAATTTAGGATATCCTGTTGGTCAAATTCCTTCAACCATAGCTCTTTCACTACCATCCAATGTTACAGGGGAAAATAGCCCTGCTGATTATCAAGACTGTAGATTATCACCAGTTTTTCTAACTGGTGACTCCCCATGGGAATCAAATTTCGAAGCTTGTTGCTCACAAGCAAGGGACAAAGCAAAGATGAGATACAATGAAAAAAAGAAAACAAGGACGTATGTTTCTTATCTCTATTACCTAGAAAGTGAAGCTTACATTCTGTGTTTACGTTAATATGACTGACGTAGTTCATTTTCGGGTTAAAAAGTTTTGAGGGCATTTAGCAATGAAATTTGCTCATTTAAGTTGATCTTAGTTTCCCCTGTCCTCCGAAATCATACAGCACTTTGTTTTAATATCTGACACTCTATAGAACAACTTCTTTTGGGATGTCATTCATAATATTGTCTGTTATTTTTAGTATAGACTGCCTTTTAAACATATGAAATCATCATTTGTAATTTGTAAGTACGATTACTCTTTTACTTTTCCTCGAACAAAATAATGGCTAATTACTGAAAGTTGACCTACAGCATTGAAGCCATTAGTGTGACTACAAAAACATAATACCTCTCTGTTTAATGATTATTGGTTCAGTTCCCAATATTAGATGGAGGAGGTGTTTTGCATCTTTTTTTAGTATGCAGTCAAGACATTTAAATAGCTATTTATTCACATGGTTAGGGTGATCATATGACAAATTTTGCTTATACTAAAGTCCTAACTGGTTTTTCATTTTTGTTATTTACAGATTTGGTAAGCAAATAAGATACGCCTCTCGTAAAGCCAGGGCTGACACTAGGAAACGTGTGAAAGGCAGATTTGTGAAAGCAGGTGAAGCATATGATTATGATCCTCTTGTTGCACGGAACTTCTAAGCCACATTATAAAATCATGTCCCCAATCTTGAAGGTAACAGATTTAATAATATTAATATACAGTCCACCTGAAAATGTTTGTAAATAATGTTACTTGTAATGACATGATAAGCATTGAAGATACAAAGATGCAGTAAAGTAGTTACATCTTATCATTTAGAATTGAATATGGCATATATATCCAACCCAGTGAAGTCAAAATGCTAGTTACTTGGCTCAGCTAGTAACTGGCACTTTGTGATTCAGGTTTTTTGAAGTCTTATCCTCAATTAATTTGTTTAGGTGTGGGCAAATTGACATTGACACTACAGCCTATTTTAGCAACAAAGAACTAAAAGGTGTATAATGGATCAAATTGCTGAACTAAAGAGCTTATTTACAACACTACATTGAAGAAATTAAGAAACCAGTTATGTTAGAGCGAAGAGAATAGAAATAAACAGATCAAAAGCTTAATCATCTCCATATTAGCCTGCATTTATTTGGTCTATAATTTAAGGAAAGGTTAACAGGAAATTCAGATTGGATAGCTTTGTAAGAAACAAGTTTTCTGCTAGAGGAGATCTTGTAAAAAGTTATTGGTTTTTGCGGAAGTTTTGAATATCGACTTTGCACTAATATGGCACACAGAGAGGTTAATCACAGCATTGGCAGCATATTGCATGCACTTTCTAAGTTCAAGTGTTAACCCTTTAATTCATCGCTTAGGACTCAATAGCTGACAAAATCATCATTTCTCTTGCTTTATGCCAGATTGCAAATGTTGATAATAATAGCTAATACATGAACTTATGCAGGTTTTATAATTTTCCTATCTTAGAATATTTTTAGTAGGTCATTTCCTTGCACACATGCTCAACTTAGGCTTTTTCAATTGTACTTATTATTGCAGGTTTAGTTAGTCTTTCTTGATCACGGAGAGGAGCAGTAAACTGTAGATTCCAACTTAATGCTGCCATAGGTTCTCTCTCTCTCTGTGTTTGTGTGTGTGGGTGAAGGTGATCTTGTTTGCATTTGTTATGAGGATTATTTGGCTTCATTACAATAAGCCTGTTTCATGTGTACAATGGCAGATATATTGTGCTGGCCACTTCAAATTATCTGAGTTAGGGACACCTCAAGCTAGTTGATCTCATCCCTGACGATCTATGAACTGCCTCAATTATGCTTGTGTTATAGTTCCTTATTATTGGTAATGAGACTTTTTAAAAATAAATTATTCATGTAAAACCACTGCTTACATGCCATCCTAATGAAATTGACATGATGCTTTTCTACTTCATTTACCCATAGAAAAAAAAAAAAAGCAGTTACATTCAATTCACCACAGAGTATGTTATTCTATTGTTTGTGTGCAGGAAATTAGAAAGGATACGCACACCAAGATGTCCAACTGGCTCTGAAGAACCCTGAAGTCACAGCCTTTGGTGCAGATTCTTTTGCCTTTCCCAAATACTCAAGACCCTCATCTTGCTTTTGTCACCTTTCAATCTCCATTGTACAAGGCAAAACCCTTGTTGCAAGTCAATTTTGGTTATATTACTTTGTATGGTGCACCAGCTCCATTCCCTGTAATAAGCACTGATGCATAGTCATCCAATTGAAATAAGGAGTATCACTTTGGCATAATAATAAATCACCTTTTATCTTTTTGATGTCTCTCGTATTTTGAGTACTGTATGTTCTCGTTATATATGATTCTTTTTAGCCGCAGATGAAATGAACTATCAAGAATGAAATATGGAGATTGCTTGAAATAGCTGAGTCAGTGGCAGAAGCAAGTTGTTCCTCTCTTTAAAGCACAAGAAAGGAAGCAAGGATAATGTACCATGTATATGAAGGAATCAAATAACGGTAAGATGCTGACATAAAACACAGTGAAGTTGTGACAAAAATAATATAAAATGCAACCACATGTTGGGCAACAATGTGCCATTATTTTTTGAAACCTACCAAAATTTTAGTACTCTGCATTAGGATGTCATACAAGCTGGTTTACTGGCTGGCTTGGGATAACAGGTTTATATATATATAGATATATAACTGAAGAAAGCATCTTTTCTAGCTCTAACCAAATATTCTTTTATATTAAGAATCAAGACTGAAAATACGGATATAATTTAGTGGTAAAATTTTTCTTCGCGAGTTCGATTCTTGCTATCCCCCCAAGGCAATTTATTTAAGATAAGAGGATAAAAGATTTGTTATAATTGAATATAAACAGTTGACTATAATTGGAATATAATATACCTCCTAAAAAAAATTACTAATTAATAGAGTCTAAATCGAAAAGTTATAAGCTTTGCGAGCAATCAAACTATTTATCCTGCGATAAAAGAAACCAAATTAATGGACAAACAGAGAGTTAATGCGCCCTTTTCCATCTATGTACAAATAGAATAGCCTATTTATACATAATGGTAAAAAAGGATCCTCTATAATCATTGATCATATATAGAAATAAATAAAAAATGAAAGGATATTTTAATCCTTACCAATTTGATATATATATATATATATATAAATACATTATTATATAAAAGAAAAAGAAATTTTTACCTGAAAGAGGTAGAGGATGTCGTAGTTTCGGGAGAGATTGGAATACGGTTAACTTTGACTTCGTTTCCCTTCATTTGTGTATTGGATGCGTTAACCAAATTGTATAGAGGAGTGTCTGAGAGAAGTGATGACAAAGATTGATTAACCAGAACAACATGTTTTGGTTGGCTATTGAAGGCGAGAAGGACCTGGTCTGGACATTAAACTGATGATCAGAGATTCCATCTGTGAAGATAGAAAAGTGAAAATTTTGTGATCACCTGGTTCATGAATGGCATCAATCATTGATATTTTCATATGATGATAAGATATGACGCCTTTTAACACCATAAAGACGGCACAACCAAAGCATGGCTCATGATTTGAACTTCTCAGAAACTTGAGTAATTCTATGGGCCACCAATCAGACATCATCTGATGAAATCATGAAGCACATGGGACATTAACCTGTACGCTGATGCGTCCCTCACTCCATAACCCTCTTTCTGATGTAATGCAATTTTTGTCGTTAATTATTACTGGGAACCCCATAGTAGTGAGTGCTTAGTTTGAGATTGTTGCTTCTGCTGATGGTCATGATTTTGACCATACTTGTAAATTGAACGGTTCTGTAATATTTAGCTTACTAATATTGAAGGAAAATAACACATCAACTGGGGTTAGCTGTTCCAAGAAGCTTCTGCCTTATTTGAGGCAAACAGATCCATTTTAGTACATCATTGAAATAATTGAGGGCCTAAAATAGATGGATCATTTTTTACTTTTCTAAGCGACTAATGGTTCAGGTAAATTTTAGACCTCGTGGGAATGTTAGCTGGCCTTAGTCTCTCTTGCCTTTAGCACCGGCAGTCATACAAATTTTGCTGTAAAATTTCTAGTTTATCCTCTTTTAGCAACATATTTGAGCAAGAAAAGAGATCATAAAATAACCATGCTTGCAAGAAAATGCTTTATTATCCTAGAGAGTGAACTTCATACTGGTAAAATTCCTAAAAACTGGATTCCTAACAGTGAAAAAGAGTGAATTGTTTTATATACTGATGATCAATTCTGTTCCCAGAACCTAAAGCTTGGTCAAATAGCAAGGAACCATAACAGAATCTATCAACGCACATCCATAAGCTATTCCATTGATTTAAATTCCAAATTAACTATAAAGAAAGCTAAATATGAGATTGTGCAGAGCAAATTAAGAACAAAAATGCATTAACGATAAAGTCAATCTGGTTTACAGAATACTGAGGATTACATCAAGATAATGATTCCAGTATTGTTCTTGTCTCTGACTTTGGCTATATATTGTATACATGTATATAACCATACAGGAATCTCTTTCTAGTTTCTTCCATTCCACAATGATACCTCAGACTAACCAGACAAGATCCCCCCATAACCAAAAGGTGCATAATAGAAAAAAAAAAATGACAGTCAAAGAAAAAGAAATGGTGTTTTAAGCGTTGTTGAATGCTTTCTTTCCTTGTCATAGTTACACTGCCTTCTCTCTGACCAACTAACCATTGTTGGAAGCAGCACCTCATGTGAAGCTCCGATGAGGTATCTCTGCGTTAGATTTTGACATGTATTGCAAAGGAAGCATCTGATGTGCCTGAGAGCTAAGAAATTAGCTTCATGAACCCATGAGTCGCATTTCCTACAGAGATATGCATCATCAGCTGGGCAATATAGGGAAGCCCTGGAGTTGCACAGCTCACAATTCACCAATCCTGAAGCCCTGGTTGCATTAGGTGAGACACCCTCTTTCGGACAAGAACTTGATTTGTTTCCTTGTTGTAAACCTTTGCACATTTTTGGTCGATCGAGAGTCAGTATTGAATTGTCTAAGTTTGGGAGCAAATAGCTAATATATAAAGCTGTTAGAAAGAGAAAACTATGACCCAATATTTTTACATATGTAGTTTATGAAGATAGAATTTGGCACCATGATATGAATGGCCCCACTACATTAATCTTTGCCCTTTCCACGAAAGTTCTGTGATATTAAAGCACGCAAATTTTTTAAACTTGTGGTTGAGAAAATGCGTCTAACAATTCTATTCCACCCCTACTTACCAAAAAAATCATCAAGGAATCTTAGGATGGGGCTCCATTAATTGTAGCGAAAGGGCTAATCACCAGAATCTGAGGACAGCAATAATTTTGATCAAACTGGAAAAGCTAAAATTGATTAAGCCTCGAGCTTTATTGAGATGCCCTGAGGGATGATTTTTTTTTATGAGTGGTTACCAAGTCAATTTTAGTTACCAAAGAAACGAGTTGATTGTATGGCCGAGAATTAAAGCTTTCTTGTAGAGGTGGTACCCACCAGCAAGCAAGGCTATCAATTGTCATCTGAAGTGCTTTGGGGGATGGCATGCAGGACAAAGCATTTGGAGCTGATTTAACTTTATTTATTTTTTTATTTTCTGCAAATTGTGGGCATTTGTTTTTGAGAGTGAAATGATGTGGAGAGACAGGAGTGGAAGGAAAGGATTGTCCTTGTCCACATGTTGGTTTAGCGTTGATAAAATACTCCACTTGTATGGTTCAAACTTGAAAGCTTCTTCCTCTTATATGCCGTCCATTTTTTGAATTCGTGGAAAAAAGAAAAACCAACTTATTATGCATTTCTATCTCTCTATCCAAAACCAATATTCATTTGACAGCTCCACTACTTGTGAAACCAACTCAATTTTCAACGACGAATCAAGACCAGACACGAATATTTTTGGTTTTAATAGTAAAGTGTGATTCCTCTTTATTCCAACTCCAAAGCCATTGTCGAAACACAGCTTGAAAAGCAATATCACGGATTGGGGGTAATCATCATAGCACATTTCAACTGCTGTACCCCAATACGTGATAGGGAGCAGTCGAGGATAGCCCATTCCATTCCCACATGCAAGCCATATCCGATGTTAAGAAAAGATGGTGTGTGTCATGTATTGAGGTCGGAAAGTGGGAACTTATTCTTTGTGTTCCGACAAACCTCCTAATGCATTAGTGCTTTCCAATTAAAATGTTGGATAGAATCTTATTTTGTTGATTTGTCGATCAAGTTATGGTCCCAATTTTTTTTTTATGTTTTGCATTTTTTGTGCGCACCAATATTATTGGAAATCATGAAAAATGTCAAACACATCTTACTAAAGAGAAGTCACATGAAAAATTTGGCTAGGGAGTGACCATTTGAACAAAAATAACGTTAACATTGGACATGAGATCTTCAAATTTTTTTTTTTTTTTTAAATGTTAATGTTGATTGTGGTGAATGACATACATTTTTTGTTGACGAGAAAGCAACTTTTAAAAATAAACTACTAAGTTATCATGCTTGATCATGAAATTTTAAAAAATTGAACTTTGTATCATATTTTCTCTCTTCTTACCGACTTATCAATTTAAAATAGAGTTTTGCTAGTTGTATATTAACTCAACTAACATACATGTTAATTAAATTTTTAGAAGTTCAAATTTAAGAAGATTTAGACATATAATTTTTTTTAGGTAAATTAAGTAGATACGATTCAGGTTAAAAATAGATGAAAAATTAAAAAAATAAAAAAATTTATTTTTGATAAAAATTTGAAAAAGCGTTTTAAATTTGTAAAAAAAAAAAAATACAAAACCATTCTTCCCCTTCCACTTGCTTGCATGGTAGTGTTTGATCTTTGCGCTGGGTGATGTTGTGTACATGTCATTTTTTGATAAGCACATTTTTTTGTCATAGGTTCCATGTCTCTCTCGAAGTCGCCTCCTTCCCTTTCAATTACAGATGTCTCATCCCCTACCTCTTCTCAAAGTCTCATGATGAAGTTTATTTATTTATTTTTTCTAAATTATCTCTATTACCGGCCCAAATAATGAAATATGGGCTTTTGGGTTTCCTCGAAGTTATATATATAATTTTTTCCGAAAGGAGAGGAATTTAATTGAGTAAATTATAGGCCCTACTCTATACAATCAACAGAAAAGTACACTTTTACCGGTCAAAATCAGTATAATACTATGAAATAGTGGGAAGAATTGGTGCAAATGAAATCACGATTCCTTTTGCATTGATCGATGGAGTTAATTTCTGTCGGTATTTATCCTTTTAAGTTGAATTAATTTTTAGTTAAAATATTATTATTTTTTTAATATTTTAATATTTGATATCTTATAAAAATTTTATTTATTTATTATTAAATTTATTTACTTATATTTCAATATTAATACTTACATGATAAATTTTTGGAATATAAATAAAGATTTGTAAGGAAATTATAATTATAAAATTATCATTGTATAAAAATTATATGTTTCAAAATAGTTCTTAATTGATATTTTATCAATAAGAGGATATTGACAAAAGTTATTGAGACTAATATATAATTATACTCTTATTTATGAAACAAATAATCGATTTTATAAGTTGAAATTTGAATAAACTTGAGTTAACATGTAAGTACTTGTTGTAAAAACAAGTTTATTGAACATAATCCGATATAAGAATGCTATATGATAGTTCATATAGTGTTTATAACTACATTATCATGTGATGATTGTATAAGTGATCATTTAACTTGAAATTACTTATGATTTTATATGATGAATGTTATACTTTGACTTTACTTATGATTATAACAAAAAATGCTCAAGTGGAGTATTTTTGGGTATAAGATGAGGCATATGAAGATGCATGAAGTAATCAAGATAAGATTCATCACCTTGTGTAATCAAGAGAGTACCTCAACTAGTTTTGATTGAATTAACTTGAAAAATCTTTGGTCAAAGTGAATACGAATTTAGAATTATTCTAAAACTTATTTGTAAGTTAATGTCAAGGACAAGATTTAATATGATTGAATAAGATTGAGTAGACACTAAACCATATTCATTGTTCAAATCGAGATGCTATATGATAAAAAGATATTAATTATATACTAAGATCATTTATAGATAAGTTATCAAGCCATATTGACTTTTCTTTAGCAATTGGGGGTTATGGCAATGAAGCTAACATTGATCATAATCTATAAATATAAGATTTGCTAATAGGAGAATTAATGATGAAGTCAAAAAGTTTGTTTCATCAATAACCAAATACTAAGACTTATAATGCTTGTGTTTATTGCTAATATGTTAAAAAACTTAATGGATCACACATAATAAGATAATTGCGAAATTTTAAAATTGGTACAAATTAAGTAGAACTTAATTTGGTTTTGGTTTGACAAAAAAATTAGAGAAATAAAACAAGAGAAGTAGATTTCCCTTGTTTTGGTAGATTCAGCTAGCATGGGTTATTTATAGAAATATGCATCTCATGCATTAAACCCAAGGTTGGTCGAATATTTCCATTAAAAAAGGAATATCAAGCCATCACCCATTTTGTACTATTATTGTAAGTAATTAGCAAGTTTTACTCAAGAAAAAAACAAGCTAAGTGAGTTTAATAAAACTTGAGAGAATATAACAGATTTTACAAACACTTATTAGCTAGAGTGTGATTTTGAGTTCTACCATATCTTAAAGGAGGTTCTTTCACAAACATTTGTTTGGATTACTATTATAGGCTAAACACTTGGGTATCTTTTTGGCTTGGGAAACTATTTAAAAGTTCACCAAATTGAACTAAAAGAATTTCAGCATTCAAGGTAAAACTTTTTGTTATGATGTATAGATTCGTAAACCTATCACTAGGAAAAGAGCCATCACCAATCTTTTTTATATAGGTGTGATTGACCACCTAATTGAATTTGTCTTATTTTAAAGAAATGTCCCAAACTTGACTTGGGTATTTTTAAAAGGTAGATTCATGTCTACGAAACGATGACTAAGTCTTGGAGTATGGTTACATGTAAAGAAGGTTATAACAGCCTTGCATTGCCCATCTAAAGGATGATACCAACTTGATTTCATATTATTCAAAAGCCTTAAAATGTGTTTGTAATTTACCTAGTAAATTTAATATTGAAAATTGTTCTTAAAATTACTCCAACCGTTCGGTAGAAATTCAAGATAATTTTCTCACCTTAAAAGTATTCATGGAGACTTGTATCCCACTCTGAAAAGACTTCATTATTGAATTCATTAACATATTTTCTATGAAATCATTTTTTTAAAAAAATCAATCAATAAAATCTTCTAATTTTTTGGTGGGATTTTATATCAATGCTTATCCTTTAATCATTTGGTGGAATTTTTATTTGAAAACCTATTTACAAAATTTTTTTTAAAAATTATCATTAAATCTTCTAATAGTTTGACAAGATTTAACTCAAATTTAAATCTTTCAATCATTTGGTAGAATTGAAAAATTATTTTTTAAAAATTCATTATGAAATTCTCCAATCATTTGGTAGAATTCATAATTCAAAATTTAAATTCTCCAATCATTTTGTAGGAATCATGAATTTACTATAAAAAATTATTTTAAATATGTATAAAAGAAGAAAGAGAAACTATTAAATAAAATAAATAGATATACAAATAAAGAAGAAAAAATAGAAATTACCAAATAAATTGGGCTACAATTGATTCCAAAGCACGTGGGCCTTTGTAATTGTGCTTGCCCATTTCAATTTGCTGATTGTTGAAACCAATTAGAATTTGGGCTTTTTATTGGATTAGTTCCTCAAATTGGGTTAATCTCATTTTGCTTTTCCTGCTTCTTCACCAATTTGTCTTCTTTCTTGTTTCCTTATAAAATAGCTTATGACTTTGCTAGTGCCCATCGCCTATGGTGATTGCCTTTCTTTCTAGTTTAAACAAAAATCAAACAAAAACTTATACCTGAAACCCTTGAAAATTTTACTGCCAAAACTTTTGGTTGAATGCATTTCTTTTGTGTTTCTTCTCAACTCCTTTCCCAATATAGAACTCTCAAAAGAAAATCTTAATTATCTTAACCCAAAACACTAGAAAAGATTAAAAAAAAAACTCTTAATTATTGTTTTTTTTTTACTCTTTCTCTTTTGATTTTTTTGATTGATTCTTAACTGTTTCTAATTGATCATAATGTGGTTTATCTCTAATCCCAATTACAATAGGAAAATGAGCTTTCTTGGTTGAATCTCTTAATCAACTCCAATCTTGAATTTTTAATCCAAATGCACCTCTTAAACTAATTCCCTTTTACAATCTTTTTTCAATTAAAATACTTTCAATTCAACAACCCGATTAGAATTAAACCTTATTCAAATTTCAGCAAAATAATTTTTTCCCTATTTTTTAATTTTTTAAATAATAATAATAACTCTAAACTAAATACAATACCAAAAATAAATAAAAAAATTTAAAGCCTAATCTTAAAATATAAATTGGCTCCGGACTAAATGGGGTATCTACAACTGTCCCTTTTTGTGTAATTTTTATGAAACAGAAATTGTGCAAAGATACAAACACCCATTACCTTCGAACTTGTTACA